GTTTCCAAAGACAGGGTCTCAACTGTATACCCCAGGCTTGCTTCCAACTCACTCTGTAGCTCAGACTGGGTAGAACCCATGAGCCTCCAGAGGTCAACCACTGCGCATGCTCATCTGGTCCACTTTATGAGCAGGGTTGTTGTTAAAATGCAAACACAGTTGTCTTTATGCTGTTCTAAAAATAATCTGCCAATTTGGTGGAGTTTTGTTGTTGTTGTTGATTTGTTTTGCTTCATGAGAGAGGGTCGTGCTATGAAGCCTACGCTAGCCATGAACTCAGGATCCTCCTGACTCCCCCTCCTGAAAGCAAGGGTTATAGGTGTGCGCCACCACGCCCGCCTCTGCATCTTTAGAGTCTGTATGAGATTACACAGATCACCGTATCTATTAACGTTTGTGCCACAGTTCACTTGTGGCTATGTGACAGTTAACTTCCACTGCCAACTTGATGAAGAAATGTCTGCCTAGTATTCAGAAACGTCCAGGGTGCTCGTGAGGCACACTTTTGAGTATGTATGTCTGTGAAGACAATTAGCTGAAGAAGGAAAATCCATCCTGAGGTAGGTGGCATTATGGACTGAGGATGCAGGCTGAACTGAAAGTGGGGAAGAGGAAAAAAGCAAGCACAGCCACAGCATTCATTCCTCTTGGCTCCCTGTGGACACACCTGTAGACAGGGTGTGATCAGCTGCCTCATACCTGTACTGCCATGCCTTCCCTGCAGGGACAGGACTACCTCACCTCAAACTGTGAGCCAACACAAGTTCTGCCTTCCCTAAACTGTTCCTTGACAGGTATTTGTTTCATCACAGCAAGGTGAGATGAGCCAGAAGCCTTCTGGCTTTCCCTGTGACAGGTAGTGGTGAATGGGGAAGTTGATGTTTTGTTCTCTTCTGCCTATTCTCTTCATCTTGTGGCATCTAGGGTTTGTTTTTGCTGCTCCCAGTCCACCAAGTGACTTGCAAGACTGAAAGGCTGAGGTTAGTTGAAACTGTTGGCCCTGGGGATTAGTTTGCATATGTGTATAAAACCACCTTTTTAAAAATCCGCCATCTTCTGGCAAATTCTTCCCTCAAAAGCATCGCTTTGGGCTGGAAGATGGTTCAGTGGTTAAGAGCACTGCTCTACCAGAGGTCCTGACTTCAATTCCCAGCAACCACATGGTGGCTCAAAACCATCTATACTGGGATCTGATGCCCTTTTCTGTCATACAGGTGTACATGCAGTCAGAGCACTCATACATAAAATAAAAAAATCTAAAAATAAATTTAAAAAATCACTTTGGAGTGGGTTTCCTACACAGAGCACCAGGGTGTCTCCCAGTGTGTCAAATAAATATAACTACACTACAAAAATTGTTAGGCTCATAGTGAGTGGGTGTGATTCAGTGAGTTTAGCCCATTTGAGAACTGAGGAAAAAAAGAAGTGAAGCTATGTAGCCAAGGCAGGACTTCCACCCAGAAAAGAATATAAAGGCAAGCCTATAGACATTTGGGAGGTATATTGTCCATGATTTTGTTTTATTCATACATTTTTAAACACGTTGGCAAAAATATCTATATTGTACTATAACTAGATAGGTTGCTGGAGTATCAAATACTAGCAAAACCTAAACTGAGGGGGAGGGAACATATTACCAAAGGTTACTACTATGTGATTTTCCTATGGACAGTCTCAGCTTTTAAGGCTCAGACTCCAAGATTGAAACAGAGACTAGTCACTCAAAGACATCGAAATCAAGGGACAATATCACCTGATATCAGGAGAGTTTGTGCGTAATTTGGGCTGTCTAGAACCACTTCAGAGCCCAGAAGATGTGCTCACATAACCATGGAGTTTGAATGAAGTTACTGAATCCCATAACCTCAAGGTTTCCACGGTCACAAAGAAAACTAAGTAAGTCAAATATTTGCATAAACGTAAATAAAATATAAATAAAAACATAAGTGGTAAACAGTACTCAGACAGTTAAGATAGGCAGGCTCAGGGCATGCTGATGGAGCAGGGAACCTCAGAATGGTACTGGAGAGGATCGTTACCCATGAGCCCTGGGGAGACCCTCCTTGGTTCTTAAATATGAGGCTTAACACTGCCATGTACAGATTTCTGACCCACAAGCAGCAAGGGACAAGGCTTTAACTTAGGTCCTAGTCCCTTGGCCCCTTGTCTATATATTGTTACCTGCTACAGTGGCTGGCAGTTTGCCAGTACTTCATATATGCCCATTGAAACCAAGAATAGCACTTTTGATTTTGTTAATAGCAGAAGATGGACACAGATATGTGAAGTCCTTATAAAAGTATCGACACTAAGGTAGAAACTGACCAGTACTGCAGACCCAGGGAATCTATAGATAGATAGACTAACACTAAAGGAAGGGTGTGATATAAATGCCATCTGGACCTATCCATTTCCTACCCTGAACTACAAATGTGGTTTTGAGCTTCCAGGTGGATGAGGCACAAAGATACCATCCAGCAGGAAGAATATCTACATTTTCATTGGAAGGAAGATTTCCATATACAAACATTTGGTAAATAATTGACATTATAGTGATGTTAACCAGGTGATTTTACTCATTTGCTTTAATCAGAACCAAGCCCCTGTGATAGAAGATGGAGGGTAAAGTATTATCAAAGCAATAATGTCATGGTTTGGTGGGACTATGGAACAACAGACAGAAAAAGTGAGCTAGCAGACCAAAATAATAGCAAGCTGATACATCTGTAGCAGTTACTTCTCTTGAAATTGCTACAACAAAATGACAGACAAAAGCAACTAAAAGAAGGAAGGCTCCATCACGGTGGAGCAGGCATGGCAGCCCGCATACCGTGGTGACTGGTCACGGTGAGCCCATTGTCACGAAGCTAAGTGAGGAGCCAAATGTTGGGCACCATGTCATTTCTCCTGTCTATCCAGGCTACAGTCACTCTGTGAAAAGGTTCTGTCTACATCTAGGGAGGGTCTTCCTGCTCTGTCAAATCAGTCTAGCAATTTCCTCAGAGACGGTCTCTAGCGTGTCTCTAAAGCTTATCAGGTTGACGAAGCTTAACCACCACAGTGTCAAAATGAGCCTTTCTGATTTAAGAAGATAAGCTAGCTTCCTCCTTTAAGCCACGGTACACGGAGAGTAGGGAAACAGAAACAACTACAGAAATGGCATCGCTCCCAAAAGCGGTACACGGGAAAGCAAAGGTAAAAACGAACAGTCCTGGGAGGTAGAAGACACACCGACCCCATGAGGCGGTTACCAGAAGGGTAGCAATCTGTCCTGATTTCGTTTTCCTGTCCTGGACTGTGAGCCTGCACCGTCCCTCAGGCACCTTTCAAGTACAGAAACGTGATCATGCCAAGTCTTACTGGATCAGTCCCAACTCTCAATACCCCCCAGTGCCTTTTCCTTTCTTTCCATTTTTTTATTTTTGTATTATTATTAGTCAAGAGGTAAAAGCCGTGGCTGTTGCCAGTTTCAGCAGGCCTGTGCTTCAGTGCTGCCTAAGGGGCCCTCACACCTTTCCTTCCTTCTAACTGGTCTCCTGAAAAGGCCTTTTCCTCAGGCAGCCCAGGCAACATCACACAGACACTCTTGGTTGTGTAACATTTTTCCCAGGATGCTATGAGTTCGGGGAGGGTGAAAAGGACCCTATCTGGCTTTCACCCGTGAGAGTATCTTTACTGACAAAAATGAATAGATAAATGAATGTCACAGGACAAGCAACAATGAAATACACTTCTGGTATATGTTTAAGTTTTATTAAAATATATTTAGGAGGCAGGAAACACTATAGTTTTTTTTTCGTCAGAGCAAATAAATTAATTATGAAGAAGGGTGCAAAAATTCATGTGGATTTTAAGGCTAAACAAGAATTGTGGAATGCTTCAGGCTACGCCCTGAGGGTATTTCTGGAGGTGCGTGCTTGATATGGAAACGCCGTGCAGTGATAGATTCGTCTCTCCCGAGGTCGGAGAAGCAAGGCTCATCTTCATTTCCTCAGATGAGAATATGTGTACGATGAGGGACTTGAAAATTACAAGGTTTCCGAGGCATATGACACTTAATTTTTTTTTAACTGAGAACTCTGTCCCGAAGAGGGGAGAGGATGAAGCTATCACGTTGCCTATTACCGGTGGGGCTGACGCCTGAACCCAGGGCCCCTCCGGGGGGAGGGGGCCAGTCCAGCTTTTGATTCAGGCTCAGCACCTGCCACCTGGCGTCTGCTGCAAAAGGTCCCCATCCTCCCGAGATCCGAGTCATATAGCGGGCGGATCGCCTGCGCCGGGCTGGAAGACTCTTTTAAGCTCCTAGCAACCGGCACCGTGAAGCCGAATGGACCATTTCCCGACCCCGCCTTCCAGACGCCTTTTGGGTGGGGCGGGACTGGGCAGCGCCCCTGGTGGGCAGCCAAGCGCCCGGCTTGTTCCGTCTGTGCCCGCGCGGGCGCCCCCTAGCGACCACACGCGTCCAGCGCCGCGTTGCGAGCCCGAAGCCTTTTCCGCGGCGCCGCGGGGTTTCAGGCCCCCGGGAGCGGGAAAGCCCGGAGTCCCTAGGCAAAGGACACGCACCGCCGTCCACGCGGCTGCTCGGTTCTGTGGCCTAAGCGTGACCAGACCCCAGACGCAAAGGCCGGGCCCGGGATGTGCATCAGGGATCTGGGGCCGAGGACGCTGGAGGTGCCCGTGGGTCCCCGCGGGAGTCAGCCACGTCGTCCACCCCAGGCTCCCGGCCTGGAGAGGGAGGGGACTCGCGCACGGCCACGGCGACGGGTGCGGACACCTCGCACGCTTACGCGCGCCCGAGCGGGACTCCTGCGCCGCCGCGTCGGGCCCGCGCCGCGCGCACCCGCGGGTGGGCGTGGGAGGCAGGGGCGCAGCTGCCCGCGGCGTGCGCGCGCTGCCCGCGCCGCCAGTCGCAGCCTCCCGTCCCCGGCGCGCGTCACGAGGACGAGCAGGCGGCGAGCAGGGGGTGGGGCCGCGGCCGGAGGGGCCCGAGCGGCTGCCGAGCCACAGAGCCGGAGCCGGGGCGCGGGCGGCTGCGGTCCCGGTGGCAGCGGGGGAAGATGGTGGCGCTGCAGGCGGGAGCGGCTGGAGAGCAGCTTTATTCCCAGGCTTGGCACGGTCGTTGTCACTAGCGCCGCCTGCTCCCGCGGGCCCGCGGACCCAGCTGTCAGGCAAGGTACCACCGCCGGGGCGGGCTGGGTGAGTGCCGGGCGCCCGACGCCCCGGACGGAGCTCGGGTCCTCGTGGAGGGGGCGATCCCGGGAGCTAAGGGTGCTGCGTGGAACAATAGTGCGGATGAACAGGGACAGCAGGCGACATCCAGGGGGGCAATGCTTGGAGCCAGCGAGGCGGGGGAAGGGTGTGTACCAGAGAGATGCCAGGCGTCCGGTGCGCGCTGAGATACCCGGCTTTGGGAAGAGCTGGCCGGATGACAGTCATGGCAGGAGCGTGTGTGTGTGAGTGTGTGTGTGTGTGTGTGTGTGTGTGTGTGTGTGTGTGTGTGTGTGTGTGTGTGTGTGTGTGATAGCAGAGGGGATGGAGGTGGCAGATCCGAGGTGCAGGGGGGATGACATTTCCAGGAATCCCTGCTAGGATCGTGAAACCGTGAGGTGGGCAGGATGCACTTGGTGTGTGAAGTGTGGAGGGAGGCACAGGGCAAGGCCGGGGTTGTAAAACCCCGTGTGGAAGTGTGTAGTGTGCAATTGGATCCACGCTCTCAAAAAACTGCGCCCCACAACCAGCGGTCTGCTTTCGCTGACTCGATGCCGCCAGCTAACACTGTGGGACAGTATTGGTTGTTTTGACCCTCCAAGTCTGAAAACAGTTTCTGTTCTGCTTCTGTTCTTGAGTGGCTGGGGGTAGGGGTTCTGGGTTCCCCTTTCCCTGACCTCATAACCCCGGGATGTGGAAGTGAGCTTTTTGCTTTGAGAGGCACATGGTAGGAAAAGAGGATAATTGGTTGCCCCTTTGGGGTTGCTGGTGGCCCTGGTTCTGAAGTGAGCTTTGCCGGCACTTGCCAGCTTCTCCTGGACTGCCTGACTCTGCAATTTCTATTGTTTATGTCCTGTCTAACCTAAAGAGAAGGGTGTTTCATGGTCCACCTTCCTCTCCTCTTCCCACAACTTTTATCAACAGACTCCCTTCCACATTGAAGTACTGAAAACCTTCTGGCTGAAGGACGGGTAGTCTTTGTGTTGCTTCTTTTAGAATAAACTCCGGAGGTGTGTAAAGAGGGTGGAGGGCTTCAAAAATAAAAAAGAGAGATTGGGAAAGGGGTAAAAACGAGGAAAAGAGCATACCGAGAAATGTTTTACGTCCTCTTGGGTGTTTTCTATGGGAAATGAGATACTCTATTTCTGCTGCTAACATCCACTCTCCTGGCTCTCACAATGGTTAGAAGGTCCATTTAGGGACTGAAATCTCCGGAGACCCGTGGTGATAAGATCTCCGGTCAGTAAAGACCCGCTTTCCTTCCCAGTCCAGCTCACTCGTAGGAAATTTGGCAAATGTCCGGCTCTCTAGTGATGTCTAGGAACCAGGACACAGAAAAGCACTCAGAGTCCACAGATGCTTAAATTTCTCTGCGTAATAAAGATAGGGCTGGGTGGAGAGGAAGTAAGATGGCATATTTATATGTGTGCCCATTGCAGCTTGGTCCCCTGGAGTCTGTATTTCTCCTGCAGTATCCGTAAGAGTGAATGTACCTTTATGCTAATAGCTCAGTACTTTATTGAAATTATATGAGTGGATTAAACTGCTTGGGACATATTTCAGTCATATTACCTTAAATTCTACTGAATTGCTGTGAGAACCCAAAAGGGCTGCCCTTAGCCTCTTTAAAAAGGCTGTAGTAATCAAGGCTTTACAAACAAACATACAATATATTGATACCAAAGAGTTCTTTCTTTTTCTTTAATTTTTTTAAAAATTTTGTTCCTTGGGCAAAGATTACATTATCCCATTGATACTAAGCCTGTCCACATGTGATTTTTCCTTCTCACTTATCATTGTTAAAAATTAATGATGATATATGGACCAGGTCTTCTGGAAGCTGTCAATGTAAAATAAATTTCCTCATGTCCTTCAAGTCAAGCTTCTAAAATTTTAATGTGAGGTTGTTGGATCTCACCCAAGATTTAAAGGAGGATTTATAAAAATGAATTTTGAATCTTAGTTCTTCACTCTTATTGCTTCAGCCATGTATCTTTCTGACGGATGTAAATCACTTAAGAGGTTTTGGTTTCTTTACTTTAAAAAAGTTATTCTCTCTGTATTTGCAAGTAAAACCATATTTATAAATTTCTTATAAGAGAGCTCAAGAGCATTAGAAATTGCTAACATAGATAACCTGATTAGAGAAAGAACTGCACAGCAGCACAATCAATGACTTTAGAATTTTTAAATTTTCTTTCTCATGTAAATGAGATAATTTTTCAAATGTGATGCCCTGTTTTTCTAACGTTTGGCCTGGTGAGGTTAAAGGTACAGCTCAAATCTGTAATTCAGTTTGGTAAATGGCTGTACCGTTCCCCACAGCCCGCAGCAAGCCATTTGTTTTGCGCGAATGCCTTTTCTTCACTTAAAGTCGTCTTAATGCTTTCTTCTTCTATTTTTAAAAGTTTGTTCTTTCAGAAGACTTGGAAGTAAAAGACGTTTGAAAATTGACCTGCAAGGCCAAAAGAAATAAACCATGGTGCCACTGGGAAATTGGGCTTTTATGGTACGAGAAGGAAGAAATGGAGAGAACCGCAAGCAGTGAACACAGACTTGTTCTTTAATAAGTTGGGTGGTGAAGGAGAGGGTGATACATCAAAGGAATGGCACAGCAGCGGGAGGAAAGCATACTTCATAGGCCCAGGATATGAATCCATTAAGAGGAAGGGAGATATAAGTGGGAAGCTAAGATGATAAAGCCTTCAAGATGGTGAGCCATACAGGTGGAGGCATGGCTCCAGAGATGGGATGGGGAATTCTGAGATGGAAGGAAAGGAATATGGTTATAATCTCAGAAAAGATGAAGACAAGTTGAGGCTAGGAGTAGGATAACAAAGGCTTGTGGCAATGTGGAAAACTGGCGTGAGTGAATGACCATCACCCAGCAAGGAGGGCCTCTGTGTTTGAATTTATAGAGGAAGCAGCAAGCCCTATACAAGCTGTGCTTTGACAACTACTTAATTTTTGCAGTAGTGAACATTCAATACTGTTAAATTCAGTGGGATTTCTGTCCCTTATTCTTCATGGAAGGAATGCTCACTTTTAAAATTGCCTGAATTGTCTGAAACTTCATTTGAAGATTTTCCTATGAGAACTTTCTCTTGGGGACCTTTGAGTTCAATAAATAAGGCCTGTAATAAAACAATGGAGAAAACAAGGCTTTTTTTTTTTTTACGAGAAACTTTTTTTATATATTACAGCAAGATGTGGCTTTTACAGTGAAGTGTAAAGTTGACTTTTCAAAACTCAAATATAGCACCTTACCCAACACCACGCCCATCATAAGTATTTGACATGCTTTTGTCACATGAATTCATAAATAAATTAATTTGTTTTGGTAAGTTAAATATAGTCTCTGAGATCTGAAATTTCAGAATTTATGCATGACAGTAGATACTCAGTGAATTATATTCTATGACCTGTCCAAGGTTATGATAATATAAACTTCTCTATGTATTCATACCTGCTACATACATTAATCTTGAAAAACAAGGACATTGTTTTCCAACAAAATACCTACGCGTGTTTGAGACCCTTGAGTATGACGATTCCAGATAAAATTATGAAATTTTATCTGTAGCTAATGATAATTTGAGGTTCTAAGGATGAAATCTGTGTGTACTTTTAACAAATATTGATCAAACACCCTCTCTGGGCCAGGCTAACTGCGGGGATAGAAATGGGATTGCGGGGGGGGGGGCGGCGCTGGAAGAGTCCCTAACATCACAGAGTTTTTTTTTTGAGGGGGAGACTACAAGGAAAGAAATAAGTGACATGAAATGACATGTACGGATAAGAATAAAATGGTGGGAAGGAACTAGGTAGAAGGCTCAGTCATGAAAGTGTGCAAGCAGGAGGACTGGAGTCTGGATTTCTAGAGCCTACACAAATGCCAGGCGGCCTACCTGTCATTTGAGCTGCAGAAGACAGACAGGGGATCCCCAGATTGTCTGGAGAGGTGAGCCACGTTGCCAACCTCTTTGTTTGGTTAAGAGAGCTCGCCTCAAAATAATTTCAGCATCAATCTAGGGCCTGCTCATGCATGCACATGCAAATATGCATACATGTATATACATACCACACACACAAACACATGAGAAGAAAGAAAGGGGGGGAAGAGACTAAAACAGGGGAGGCAATACAGTGGGACAACGGAGGAGATGATGTTATAATAGGACCGCCAGAGAAGACTGTACAAGCTTTAAAATGAGAGGGAGCAGGCCATAAAAACGTTGGCGAGAAGGGCTATAGGCAGAATATGCTTTCCGAGCTCAAGGGCCTGCGGGGAAGCACCTTTTTGGTTCGGTGGTTTACCTGGACATAAGGCGCCTCACCTGATTGAGGGAGCAGCCACTTAGAGAGGTATCTGCTTTGCCTTTCAGTGTGAAATCTGCCGCCCACACGGTTACCTTGTTACCAAGTTGTGTTTCTGAAAAGGTGTGTGCTCTCAGCCAAGCATGATAAAGCTGGAAAACCCGAGGAGTGACTGTGTGTAGCTCTAAGATGCTAGCCTGCCGGAAGTGGTCCGCCAGCTTGGAGCGTTGAATCCTCTTTAAATGTGGTAGTCTTCTCTTTCCCCCAACCCCACACTTCAACTCTTATTTGCAAGGGCAAGGTCATCCAGGCTAGAACTCTGTTTTGTTCTAGTGGCTAGAACCCATAACACAATGGACAACGCTGTGCATTAGTAGGAGATCATTAAATACTCACCGTCAGTCATTAAATAAGACACTTCCAATGATTTTCAGTTATAAGCCTGAAGCCAGGTATAAGGGCTGAGTGTATAACCCCCTTTTGGTTTGCTTTCTGCAGTCAGCTGGCTGCTTTCCAAAGCAGGACAGCAAATCAGCGTATGATACTGAGCTCATTTATGCATTTAGATGCTGGAACAAAGACTTGGGTCCAGATAGTTTCTTTGGAAGACACGCCCAAGAAATAAAAATTGAGAGTGAAGAACTCAAGACAAAGAGAGGAAGCAAGCCAAT